ATATGGACACAAAAACAATCGGTGCACACATCAGTATACACACAGACACACACAGACATACAAACACATATAATTGACCTTGACCTAACTTGACCTGAAATGACCTCAGCACCAAAAATCTGGTCGGGTAGTGCGACAAAGAGGTTCTAACTAGCTGGCTTGGCACCAGAAAACAGCATCGTCATCGGCATATGATAAGCACTAAGCAGCGCACTTGATATCCAACGGTGACCCAAAACAGCAACATTTTTTAGTTTGACCTGACCTGGAAGGTCAATGACTGACCTGAGAAGGTAAAACTGGGTATCATTGGATTCGTCTCTTCCCAAAGAATCTTTTTGGTCTGTACCGCTAAGCTCTATCTCCAACAGGAACGAAATGGCGCGGGGGTGGCAACCCCCCCCCCCCATGTGCGTTCTAGGATGTGAAAATGGCATGTGCGGGCGAGGGTTAAGGAAATGTATGGCAGAGGCAGACCCAAAACAGCAACATTTTTTTAGTTTGACCTGACCTGGATGGTCAATGACTGACCTGAGACGGTAAAACTGGATATCATTGGATTTGTCTCTTCCCAAAGAATCTTTTTGGTCTTTACCGCTAAGCTCTATCTCCAACAGGAACGAAATGGCGCGTGGGGTGGCAACCCCCCCCCCATGTCCGTTCTAGGATGGGGGTGGCAACCCCCCCCCCATGTGCGTTCTAGGATGGGAAAATGGCATGTGCGGGCGAGGGTTAAGGAAATGTATGGCAGAGGCATTGATGTGGTTCAGATGACCCTCAAGACTGTGTTTTCGTGTCCAGCTCCCAAGCCGTTCGATGCCAGATCTCTGGAGAGATACATATTAATTATTATGTATCGAGACCTTCCCAAAGCACTCTTAAGATTTTAAGATTAAGGTCAACTTTCGGGTCAAGGTCAGGTCAAAGGTCAAATTCTGGGGTTTTGCATGATTAGGCTTACGGACAGCGGAATCGATAGATGCTGCTCGAAACTCACCAAAAATGACCTCAAATACCAAGTGAAGGTACCATATGTGCGTAAAGGGGTCATACTAAGTACGGGTCAAGGTCAGGTCAGGTCACGAAAGGTCATGGTTTTCACTTTCTGCTACATGGGCGTGCGACACATGTTTTATGGCTTATTTTTCACGTCGAATCCGATGGTAATGGTTATATGTGACCCCAAGTCACTGTGCTGGTGATAAGTTTGCATTGAAAGCATAAAAATCGTTTATAACATACATAACTAAACGAGTGCTAAGAAAAAAAAGTCAATTTTTTAACTTTTTATTTTTGACATAAAAATGCACTTTTCTAGACGAGCTTTGTCCTAAGAAGCTATTGGTGCCATTTGTTTTCACATGCAATGTTCAGAAGTGCCTCTAATTCACGAAAATGCTTATGACGTCACCATGCCCCTATGCATGTTGGAGCTATTTTTTACAATTTGGGGGTCAAAAATCAATATAGAAAGTTGAAATTTGGGACATCTAATGTTCTAATAGAGCTCTATAACATATATTCTGGTTTTTTGAAAATTCTCAAAGTTTTGGATTTTATTAGCTGTTTTACAAAAAATATAGTTTTTTTAATTTCTAGGGGTGAAAAACGCATTTTATGGAAAATCCGAGATAGCCATTTTAAAGAACTCGTTGAGCTGCGTCTATTTATTTCCTTAATTTGTAATTTGCTTTAAACCTTGATTTTTGGCGATTTTTTAAACATTTACCACTTTTTGACTGAAAATGCCATGTACTTACATCACTAAAATCGTTATATCTCTAAAAGTTTAAAAAAAGGTTCTTAAAAATTACACAGGAGACGTCAAATTGATGGGGGAGAAGGTATGCCAAGTTCCAAGTTGATAGCTTGGAGTTCCAAGTTGTTCCAAGTTTCATCATTTGACATGTGCAAATGATGAAAATCATTCTTCATGCTAATGCTTTCTGTGCAGTCATGAATGGACTGCTATGTTTGACCACATTATTGCCAGCCTGGACCCAATTGGCTTATAATTGGCAGCTGACAGTGGTCAGTTATTGCGTCTGGTGCCAGTGAACTATTGTGCCTGGCCTCCATAAGGTCATTTTAATCAGTTTTAACCTTCACAATTGTGTGTGTGAGCACCTGGCGCCTGTGGGCTCCATGTGCCTGGCCTGGCAGAAAGGCTGTTTTACCCAGTTTTAACCTCTGTATGATTGTGTGTGTGAGCACTAGGTGCCTTGGAGCTCCTTGTGCTTGACCTGGCAAAAAGGTCATTTTACTGTTTTAATCTGTATGAAGTGTGTGTGAGCACTGGGTGCATGCTGCCCAAGTGCTTGACCTGGCAGATGGGTCATTTTACCATGTTTTAACTTGTGTTTTGTGTGAGTGGGCACTATTCCTTGCTTACTGGCACCTTGATGCGTTATCTGACTATGGTGTTCTGTTTGGGCTGCGTGTTCAACTTGCTTCTCTTAATTGGATAGGTTCACATCAAACCTAATGATAAAATCCATGTTCTGGGTTGCCTACAATCATGCAATATTTACCTATTGCAAATTACATATAATAAGCTTGAAAGCAAGTCACACAGCCATTGCTTACTTTCTTCAACATTCATAATCTCATTTTTCTTTTTGTGTTCTGTATCCTCGAATTATTTTCTTATAAACTTCTACATTCATAGCCACTATGCTCTCATCCTGCACCCCCCCCCCCTCCCCACATCCCTGTCGGCCCGCCCTTAGATCTGATACATAGATTGCAGTAACTATGTAAGTTGTAACACACATTGTGACATGTCACTCCCACAGACACGCGTGGGCAGCAGCCTTTGTCTGGCTATGATCGTGAACAAAAGCGGCGCCTTTGCCCTTTGTTTCTGGACTCGCTGCCGTGGCTGGTTTCGGTCGCGGTGGCTTGAGTCCGGACTGGCCCGTCCTCCGTCCTCCGACCCTAATAGGCATCTGACCTGCCTCAGCGCCATCTACCTGAAACTCCCTAGATGTCGCTGTCCTCTCGGCCTCGCGGATTGTCTCCCATTCGTGTGGAGGCCTGTTGAGGCTTGTGTGTAACCGGCGATAATGACTGCATACTTGCCTACGCCCACTACTTACCTTGGTTTCCATTTATCTATACTGAGGAGTGCTAAACGCCTTCTGGTGTTACTTGGTAACATGGTTAGCTCCCTTCATGGAAATTATTTCATGTCACCAGCTTACTACTGCACATACCACTTCGTAATATGTGCTAACTTACATGCATCAACGTTTTGATATATGTAACAAATGTGTCCTGGTAATTATATCAGGCATTGTTTGGTAAATTTGTTATAGCTTATTTTAGTTACACCCAATCCCTAAATCACCTGATAGGGTTTCCTTCCAGTACCTTTCATCACCTTTCACTCAACCTTCTTTGCATAATACTATATGCAAGCGCAACCACATGAAACCCTTCCACCTCTCCTTAATAACAAAATATTTAACCCGTTTCAAAGTGTTGGCCCTACGAACCTTTCCTTTTTACATGAGCAATACGAACACCTGAAACGTAACTGCAAATATTATACTCCTTTTCAACCGGAACTGTTTTCCCATGAGCATAGTGATGGGCTTTCTATTATGCACATCAATGTTAGATCCATTCTCACCAATGAAAAGTTTGATGATTTTCAAACTTTCATTTACTCAACCGGCAAACACTGGAGTGTTATTTGCTTAACAGAAACCTGGCTAGATCCTTTCACAGAGCAGTACAGGCATCTCCCAGGCTATACTTCAATTTTTAGTAGTCGTCCTAATAAAACAGGTGGAGGTGTTGCGATGTATATATGCAATAAGTGCATAAGCTCAACATCGCCTCTAAAAATCAATAAGATTGATGAGACAGAATCTTTATTTGTTGAAAGTACTGTACAATCCAAACAAATTGTACTTGGTGTTGTCTACAGGCCCCCACGTCTATGTTCTTCCCAGTTTATTGACCAAATGACTGAGGTACTTGAACACACAAGTATATGTCATAAGGATGTTATTATCACCGGTGACTTTAACTATGACCTTTTCCAAGTTGCAACAGATAGCTCTGTTGAAAACTTTCTGCACATGTTTACCACGAATGGTTTCTTTCCATGTATTTTTAGACCTACACGACTTGGTGTCGATAGTGCATCACTGCTTGACAATATATTCTCTAATAACCTTTCAATCTTGAATGACCCAGGTCTTATTTTGAGTGACTTATCAGACCATTTCCCAGTGTTTGTCGATCTTACTCTCAGAACAGACAATTCTCATAAACATATGAGGCAAACCATCACTTCTTTTAACTATAACATGATTCCTCACTTGCAAACTCGTTTGCAGTTGAAACTAAGAGACTTCTGTAATGAAACTGATGCGGAACACGCATGTACAACATTTATAGAAGCCTACACTTCCGAGATATCTAGGTGCAGCCACACCTATACTCCCACTCGGAAAAAGACACCTATTAAACCATGGATTACCCCTGGCTTATTGATTTCCATTAACAGAAAAAACGAGCTTTTTCGTATAAAGAATAGACACCCGTCTCCCTTCAATATCAACAACTACAAACGTTATAAGAATTTGTTCACTCATATACTGAGGAAAGCCAAACAAACTTACTATCAGAATGCACTAAAAGATTGTGGCCCGAGGGAAACCTGGCGGCTACTGAACGAGATAACGAAAGGAAACATAATTAAACAAGAAAGTCCACCTTCTTTTAAGATTGGTGATGATGTTGAAAATGACCCAAAAATAATCGCCGAATCTTTTAACTCATACTTTGCTAGTGTTGGCAATGACTTAAAAGAGCGGATACCTCCTTGTCCCACCGACCCTATTGAAAATCTTCCTAGAGGACTAGGAAACTCACTATCATCATTCACCGAAACTAATGACATTGAAGTTACTGAGATAGTAAATAGCACCAAAAAAGTTGGTGGTGGAATAGACGGCATTAATGCACGTATTTTTAAAGCAACTTACCAGACTGTCCTAAGAGAGCTTGTCTTTCTCTTGAATTTATGCTTACGCCAAAACGTGTTTCCTCGCCCTTTGAAAACGGCGGTTATAAAACCAATTTTTAAAGCAGGGGATAAGCAACGTTTTACAAACTATAGACCAATAAGCATACTGCCTTTTATATCGAAAATACTAGAAAAACTAGTACATACCCGACTTGAGCATTTCTTTGAACATAACAAAATCATCACCGAATTTCAGTTTGGTTTTAGAAAAAGCATGAGCACTTACATGCCCCTTCTTTTGGTTCAAGAAAAGGTAAACCAAGCATTTGAAGCAGGCAAAGTTGTCTGCGGCTTATACCTTGACCTCCGAAAAGCATTTGACACTGTGAACCAAACCATTTTACTTAAGAAACTGTATGCTTACGGTATACGTGACAATGCACTTATGATGCTGAAATCATATTTAGAAGGCCGCACACAATGTGTTGAGGTAGAGCATGTTCGCTCCAGCCTTGCTTCGGTTGATATCGGTGTTCCCCAGGGCTCCATCCTTGGGCCACTTCTGTTTTTAATTTACATCAATGACTTTCCCTCCATTTCTGATGATATAACTGCATATCTGTATGCAGATGACACTGCCATTTTCATTGAAGGCAATGATGAAGCCCATTTGCAAAGAGTCATCGACGCCACAATGCCCAAGATAGCTGTTTGGTTTCAAGCAAACCAATTATCTTTAAATACAGACAAAACTTTTTGTCAGCTCTACAATAATTCTAAACGCGCTGTCAATGTGTCTGTTTTGCTCTCTGGTGCACATATTAAATTTGTTAAAACAGTTAAGTACTTGGGCATGTACGTAGATGACGATCTGAAATGGAAATCACACATTTCACACCTTTCTACAACGCTGACTCGTAACGTTGGACTCATAAGCAGAGCTAGGTATATATTGGTACCTAAACAGCTGCTTCTTTTATATAACGCACTTTTCCTTCCGTATATCAACTACTGCTGTATGCTTTACAGCAACACTTATATTACAAACGTAAATAAGCTCGAGAAATTACAAAAGCGTGTGGTCAGAATGATTGATGGCGAACATAGACTCGCACACACAGCACCAATTTTTAAGAAACTGAAAATACTTAAGTTGAGAGACATTGGTAAGCAGCAGATGCTTCTGCTAATGCATAGAAAGTTGAAAGGAACTTTGCCTTCATCTATTGACAGACTTTTTACGATACTCGAACCGCTTCGAGATACTCGCTCGACCCATCATTTCCACGAGTTCTTCTCAGAAAAAAATTATCGCAGCTACACTACTAGGTGGTCTGCACCTAGAATTTGGAACTCAATAATTGGTCCTAAGTTCACAGATATGGAAGCAGTTCCACTAACAAAGAGAGAAATCAAGGATTTCTCAAAGCAGTATTTTATCGATCAATACTGATACCATTGCCAACACTGACATTTATGTTCTTGTGTTCCACCTGCGTTCGTAAACATACGAATACCTGCCAATGAAATGATCCCCCATTTTATTTATTGTGGGTATGTACGTACATTTACCTGATAATGTATTTTTTACCCGCTCTCTCACAGGTACATACTTGCACAGTACATAGTTATATGTACACAATTACAGAATTTGTCTTTAATGCATATCACTTATGCATACCTAATTTTGGAGCATTGTACATCTCTGTAACTGGGTAGGTATGTTCTAACTGGGTACCTAGATCGCCACAAGAGGTGGTGGTATTTAGTGGTCCTTATGTCTTTTCCCTGTTTGTCTTTTACTTCTTCTCGAACTTTTATCCCACATTTTTGTTTTGCCCTTTTATTTTTGTTAAGCTTTGCTTTTTCTCCCTATAAACATCATACAGTACGTACAGTACTAACTGTATGTCTTTGAATCATCGCCATCGCTCAATGACCTAGCTTTCTGTCTATTTACATTACTTGCTATTTGTATACCGGTCGTCTCGTCTTGTTTTGTGTACTTACAAGTCACACTTAAGTACTCCTGGATACGTAACAATACGTAAATCAGCCCTACGATACTTCCCACCGAACTGGGTTTACCGAGCAACAAGCTTGCTTAGCTCGGTATCCCTTTTCGGTGAGGATCTGACTCCTCCGGGTGTGACTAGGCTCTGTCCCTCTTCTATGATGCAAGCTTTGCATGCGCTTATTACCACTAACCCCTGGATCACTCTCTCCTTCTCACTATCTTCTTTGGGAATGGTGTAGCGGCCAGTCAAGCTACATTTAGTCTTGACTTCTTTGCCTCTTCTTATGACATTTTACTAACTTACTAAGTATTGTATTTAGCTTTGTTTTGTTTGCTTTCCTTTTTCTTAGCAGGGAGTGTCGCGACTTTCTTCATATTTTTGTCTTGGGAGGTGTTAACGTAAGGTGCTGTTGTCGCGTGGGTCAGTGGGTGGACACTCCTGGTCGTCTGATCATGGGCGGCGGCTTAGAAAAAAAAAAAATAGCGTAAGCAGTTTATGAGTTATTCAAGAAAAACGGAGGGGGGGGGGGGGTCGGATTCGACCCCTCCAGGCGGTCGCGGGTTAAGCTGAAAATGACCTATAAAACGTGCGTCACGTGACCGATACATGATGTACAATTTTCGTGACCTAGGATGACCTGGTCTTGACCTGAAAAATTCAAAGTAAAAGTTCGGCCTAAGCATATATCAAGGAGTGCGGAAACCAAAAAATGAGCCTGATCGGACTTGTCAGCCGGCGGCCAGAGCCTAAATTGTGGCCAAGCAAAAATACCGATAGTTTTTACTTTAACCTGACCTGTGACGTCAGAGGTGACCTCAAGGTAAATGAAAATAGGTTTCGTTCGACAGTTTTTCCAGGGCTATCAGACGCCGTTTGAATTTTGACGATCGGCCCAGTAGTTTCGGAGATAGGAGGGGGGGGGGGCTCTGGTGAGCCCCCCCAGTCACTCGCCTAATGGAAAATACCCCAGTCATGCGCGGGTTAACCCTCGCCCGCACATGGGGGGGGGGGGGGTTGCCACCCCCCAGGTAGTCTTTTGCTCTGCACTCAACATTTTTAGAGGTAGAAGGCTGATTTTTCGTATAGCTGCTCCTCTATCCTTTCTTGATGTCCACTGAAAATTTCAAGCCTCTGTGATGTTTGGTTTTGGAGATATGACCTTGTTTTCAGGTCAAGTCATGACCCAAATGGCCAATTCTCAACATCTTGCGTTTGCCATGGGCCTTATGAGCTTTTGAAACCTTGATTTCGGCCTTTTTTGCCAGTCTTACCTCCCACCTATCATGGAACATGTTGTTCGACGATGTACAGGTGTCAAGGTCAGGGTCAAGGTCAACCTAGGTCATCTAAGATAATTGCGTTTTAGGCAAGCTGAATTTGCTTTTTGTGAAATTTTTTGACTGCATTTTTGGTAGAAGCTTCTCAGATCATGATTTCATGAAATATGGACACAAAAACAATCGGTGCACACATCAGTATACACACAGACACACACAGACATACAAACACATATAATTGACCTTGACCTAACTTGACCTGAAATGACCTCAGCACCAAAAATCTGGTCGGGTAGTGCGACAAAGAGGTTCTAACTAGCTGGCTTGGCACCAGAAAACAGCATCGTCATCGGCATATGATAAGCACTAAGCAGCGCACTTGATATCCAACGGTGACCCAAAACAGCAACATTTTTTAGTTTGACCTGACCTGGAAGGTCAATGACTGACCTGAGAAGGTAAAACTGGGTATCATTGGATTTGTCTCTTCCCAAAGAATCTTTTTGGTCTTTACCGCTAAGCTCTATCTCCAACAGGAACGAAATGGCGCGTGGGGTGGCAACCCCCCCCATGTCCGTTCTAGGATGGGGGTGGCAACCCCCCCCCCCATGTGCGTTCTAGGATGGGAAAATGGCATGTGCGGGCGAGGGTTAAGGAAATGTATGGCAGAGGCATTGATGTGGTTCAGATGACCCTCAAGACTGTGTTTTCGTGTCCAGCTCCCAAGCCGTTCGATGCCAGATCTCTGGAGAGATACATATTAATTATTATGTATTATGGAACATATTTTGTATTATTATGTATTATGGAGCAGTACACGGTGCAACGACTACATTGAAGAGACTGGAATATGAGGGTGACCTGCAGTCTTGTGAGAACCTGCGTCATCTCCTGAGCAAGCTGCCAGTTGACATGCGGAAATTTTGGGCTGAACTCTCCCTAGGACTGGTGAGACCTACCCTGCTGGAGTTCGACCAGTGCAGCTGCGCCGTCTGCAGCTGCGCATCCAGCTGAGCTGTGAGGCAGTTGCGCCTGCACCCAGTCAGCAGAAGAGGACGGCTGGGATGTTCCTCACCACGAAGACGACAAGCACCTCAGGTGAGAAGAGATGCGTCCTCTGTGGTGAAAGCCATTTGCTGTGGGCTGGCGAGCAGTTCAAGGCACTGGCAGCTGATGCCTGATGAGCGTGCACGAGTTGTGGCTGAGCACCGACTGTGTTTCAGCTGCCTGCGGCCAGGCCATCGGAGCAGAAATTGCAGAACAGCTCGAGCCTGCGGCATCAATGGTTGTGTGCTTCGACACAGCCGGTATCTGCATGGGAGCAGGAGGATCAGGAGGCTGCAGCCCGGTTCGCCGCCGCCCTCAGGAACGGAGACGGACGACCGGCGAGATCACCATAGCGTCGGTCCGACGGGAGGAACAAGATGCGTGTCATGTTCTGTTACAGGTCGTACCTGTACTTGTCCATGGTCCCGGGGGACGGTACAAGGACACGCTGGCGCTTCTCGACTCGGGGGCGCAGACGTCGCTCTGCAATGCGTCTGTCCTAGACTAACTGCAAGTTGAAGGCGAGGTTCAGCCGGTCCGACTGAGCAATGTAGAAATATTGTAGAAGCTATGGGCCCTGAGAGGCTATCCAGGCGCACTGGCGGATCCAGACCTGCGTTTGGGGGCAACTCATGTCAGGAGCCAAACCTATAGGTTACCCCCAAATCCTGTTTTGTCATCGGATTTAAGCCACTTGTTTTTCGTCACAGCCCTGAAACGATATTTTAAACTAAAAATAAAAAATATTGAAATGGTAGCCCACCCGACCCGTGCCTTTATATTACTTTAAAAACACTTAAAATTGCTTTTGTTGACCAGTTAGCCCACTCCGGGTCGGTGCTTGGCGCATTCGCGGGCCGGGAGGTGTCTGTTGGACACCCTTGCCGTTCGGCCCCTGATCAAGCTAGAGCTTCGCGGAAAGGAATTTCTAAAGGAACTTCACTATCGAAGGCTGGGACTTACCAGCAATCAATCATTTTAATGACCAATCCCGGTGCATTTGGGGGGGGGGACTAATTTATATTGCCGCCCCTGTCGAGTTTCGAATGGGGGGGGGCTTTAGCCCCTGCCGCCCCCCCCCCCTGGATCCGCGAGTGGGCCCCTGGACCCTGACAAGACTGTGGTGCCCCTGACAAGCCCGAAGTGCCTCCGCTCTAACAGGCCCGTGCCCTGTGGTGCCCCTGACAGGCCCATGGTGCCCCTGGCGGCTGGCAGGCCTCTGATGACCCCTGAGGTGCCTTCAAAAGAGGACGTGGGGCCATCAGAAGCGGCTATATGACCGT